TATATATTATATAATTATATATTATTATATAATATATAATTACATGTTTTTTATTATTACTATTACTATTATTGTTATTATTTTCTCTAAGTAATGAGGATAAGAGCAGCAACATGGAGCAATTTCCTTGAGGAGGGTTGGCAAAATACAAACAAAAAAAATCTGGGTTTACTACAGTAATACAAATTTACTTTAGGAAACTTTCCTAATTTAAAGTTCTTCCCTTTTTTTTTTTTTGTAATTTGCAAAAAAAATTTTTTTGTAATTTTTGTAAAAAGCAAAGTAATTTTAACTTTATGATATACAAAGCTCTAGGATTAAACAGAGTGCATATTCTGTTTTGTATCAAATAGTATTTTTCTCGTTTTCTGGCAGTGCCATTCTTTTTGCTTTGTTTTCAGGGGATTTCAACAGAATAACTTAGTTTATGTATATTAGATTAAATATATATAATATGTATATTGTACTAAAATGTAATATATATTATATTAAAATGTATACTATATTAAAATGTAATTAATGTATATAAACATATATTTTTTGACAATATACCACAATACAAATATATACAGAGTATATATAATTATTTTTTTTAATCTATAACATAGTAACATTATCTACTGTCAGCAGAACTACAGGTAGCATCTGGGAGCATTCACATGAGGAGAAAAAAGTGTGAATGTCCTCCATGGCAGCACTGTACAATGGGAAAACTGATGACTGGCTTTGTTCACTGTACCCAAAATTAGGCATGGAAAGCTCATAGGAGCAGAGTAAATAACAGGTTAATTTTTAAGATTCTAGTATTTTTCTGGCAGACAAAAAAAATGAAAAAAAAATAAAAAAAAAACAACAACACACAACCAAACAAAAAACGTTCCTACCTAGAAAAATCCCTTATTTCTGCATCAAGGACTGTGGGGAGCTGCTCAAAAATAAACTCTGGGATTTTGGGGACTTGTAGATTTTCATATCTACTAAGCTTCTGAGTGAGAAGAAAAATACTTCATCCAGGAGGTCTTGCTGAGCTTATTTTCATGGACCTGGAATAAGTCAGATACCATATTGAGGCCGGAGCCAGATCCAAGCATGCAAAACTTGGCTCTCCCTGCGTCACACACCTTGCTTGGCAGAGCCAGGGCGGGGAAAGGGGCACACAAAAATCTCCAGCTCTGCCTGTGACACACACCCAGGATGAAGCTCCTCAGGCAGGCGGCTCAGCCCAGAGCTGACAGAAATTGTGAGCTGAGTTCACTGAGCACAGCCCTGCCTGGCGCTGCCC